TGATCTTCTCCGGGCCGCAAAATATATGAGCGTCTAAGCTCCCGTTCGGCATGTAATCGTATACTAATAGCAGCATACCATTCTTGTGACACCATCCTGCAAGTTCATTTAAAAATGCAATAAACTTCATATACTTATCATTGAAGATAACTGCTACTAATAAACTATATATATTGTTTCTTCGGATTCTTATAACTGCGCCTACCTACTCTTGCACGTTACCATGTGATGTTTCATTGGACTATCCGAACAACAAAGTTTTTCCAACAAACATAAGTTTCTCATGTTTGGAAATAGTTAGTTGTTTTTGAGTTAATTATAACCAAAACAGAGACATTTTAGTATACTTGACTTAATGATCGACTACCTTGCGATGTAGACATTTTAGTTTTTTATTGTAAATAAAAAAATACAATCTAGTTAAAAAATTTATCCAAGTTCATGAAGATATGGGAAAATTATACATATGCTAAACTAATTCCGAGTTATTTAATTATGTCTGGTCCCTCTCATCGTTAAGTATGACAATACACAGCAAGGAAGATTTCAAGAAAGAGGAAGGAAGACGAAAAGCAATGACTAATTATTATGTCAACTGTCAAGTTTGATAGAATGGCCTAATTTGACTAAATCTTGATGAAAATGGAGACAAGGGCTTGCACATATAGGTTACCTAGCAATGGGACAAGATGCTTGTGGCGCAAACGGTTGATGATGGTAAGTTCAGCCAAGAAATCATCTTTGCCCTTAATGTCTCCGGAGAACTTCTTCACGGCGATCTCGAGGCTCTCCTTCGTCAGCAACCCTTTATAGACGACCCAGAACCCGCCTTGACCGAGCTTGTGCTTATCATCAAAGTTATTGGTGGCCTTTTTCAGATCTCTAAACTTGAATTCCCTTGGAGTACCTGGAAGAGTCTTGAGTGCTCCCAATATGTTAGGATCAGATCTGGCCTTCCATTTCCTGTACCAACAACAAGTTAACCCTCCGATTGCCAGCAGGAAAAGAACCACTACTGATACTCCAACTGCAACCCCAATCTTGATCGATTTGGATCCTTAGTTCGCACCCGGAAGTATTTCGATTGTCAAGTTCCATCTGAGTAAACAGTTGAGCTGAACATGGCTGCCTGTTGATCCTGAAAAACCGAAATATGCGTTTTGTTCGACAATGCTGCTGAGATCAAGATCAGAGCTGAGGACTGGCTTGGTGGGTTTCGAAGGCGTTGGGGAAGAAACCTGATCCTGCTCCGCCAGGAAAACTTGTACCGACTTGTTTTGGCCATTATATTCGATCCACACGACGTAAAACTTTGTGCCATTGGGAGCAATTTGGATGCCAAAATGGGACAAAGACACAGTCTTTTTAGAACGAACACTGTTGATGTTTAGACCAATATGGTTGTCGTCCGGATCAAAATCCTGTTTAAAAGTATCAAGTTCGATGGCAACAAGGCTGTTGGAGGAAAGACCATCGGTGGATGAGTTCGTCAGTCCTAGTACTGTCCGGAACTGCCGGGAGGCAGGGCGGTGTTGGAGGTAATCAGGAAAGTGACACCTTCTCCGGGAACCGAGTTATTAACTCGAAAAACATTGATGAGAAATGATGTATTAAATGAAGCAACCTTGCCACCTGCTTTCTTTTTGGAATCTCCATCCCAGAGCTTGAATGTTTGATTGAAGAAGATTCTACCGAACCTGTCGTTGAGGCTGAAGTTACCGACGGAATCAGGGGTGATTTGAAGGGCGTCGTTGCTGATTGTAGCTGGCTTTAAAACCGCAAAACTGTCGTAATAAGAACTGTCAAATGGCCCAAACGGGTAGGTTTTTGTTTTCAGACTCTGGGTTTCTGCCATAGCTACCGCCATTAAAAGTAGAATCAAGAACCCAGGAAGCCATACCACAAGACCCTTCATGTTTCAAAGCTACAGCTTCTGAAACTAAAGAAGGAAGATGACGGAAAACATGGTGTATCATCAATCTATAGACTTTTTTCTTTCACTCTCTCATTATTTTAATTATTTATTTTATACGATGCTCCATCCAGGAAAGAAGTTTGATTTTAATAAAAAATTAAAAACAAAAACTTTCAATTTGGAATTTATTTTAATAATGACAACGTTGCTCACTTTTTGCATTCATAATTTCAATGCTCTGCTTTTGTAGAAAAACTACTTTATTCATGCATGTTACCCCTCCAGCTGCTGAGATTTTTTCCCCCTCTCTTTTCAAATTCCTTTCCCTTTACTTTTTTTCCTTTAAAAAAAGAAAAGGCCAATAGAGATTGAAAGATTAAAATTTATTTTCAAAAGGAAATATTAAATTTCATAAGCTCGTTTATAAAAGTTGTAACATATTAAGGCTGTTTAAATTTTATTGGAGAACTGCCAGGGAAGGAGACGATGTAAGATTTGGTTAAATTTTGTATCAGATAATATAGAAAAATAATAATACGCACGCAAATCAATTAAGTGTTATTTAAAATCTCGAATTATAATCAACTTGATATCGCTTAAGTAAAATCTCAAGTTTAAGTCTTTATGAATGTAGAAAATTTATGTTGCAAGACTCACCCACCAAAACAAAGTGTGCGATGCAGGTTGGTCGGAATTAGTCAAGGTAATGACTTGAAACAGGAAGGGCAACAAAAAAATAATTATATAAAATAAATTAATTATATTTAAAAGATTAATAAATATGTGAGTTAAGTGAGCTTTTTATTAAGTAATATGAAAAAAATAACTATATTTAAAATAATTAATTCATACATATATATATGTCAATCAATTAAATATTATTTACAAATTAAAGTATTAAATTTAAATCTAAATAATTATTTTTAAGTAATTTAAAAATTATATTTAATCATAACTAATTTTTAAAATAATTTAATATTAATTTTATAAAAATAAATAAATAAGTATTTAATTTTTTATTCTCAAACTATATAAAAAATTAATTTTTGTTTAATATTTAATTTTAATCACATTTCAAGCTGGATATTAATTTGGTTAAAAATATAATAATTGTATAGTTTAATTCAATGGTTAAATATTGGACTTTTTTATATGGGGATTTAAAGTTCAATTCTTTCGAATAGAATTTTAATATAATATTGAGATGATGAACATAATTTAATTTAGATATTAATTTTGGTAAAATATCAACAAATTCTAAACTTAACCCTGTGATTAAGTATTTGAACCTATGTGCAAGAGGTTTTAGGTTTGAATCCTTTCCTCAACAGTAATTTTGTGTGAAAAATATAATTCAAATTTAAGTTTCAGAGGCAATTTAATAAATTTTCAACTCAGTTCAGGGATTAAGTGTTTGAACCCTTAAGGGTTTAATACCTCTGCTCATCTTCCGATAAACACTACTTTATTGGTTGAATAAAATTAAGATAAAATGACATGTGAATCGTTAAAGAGAATAGATAAAGTGACATGAATTTTTTTTAAAATACAAATTAAATTAATGTAAATTTTAAATTATCAATGATTAAAATAGGGAAAAACATAATATCAATGATGGGTTTATAAAAAGAAATAATTAGATGATTAAAATGAAAAAGAGATAATAATTTGATGACTAATAATATAGTTAATCCAATAAATTTCCAAGTAAGTGAATCAAACGCGGTATTCAAATCTATTATTAGAACACACGTACGTGAAATATTCTTTCAATAATACCCAAAAAGCAACTCATGTGCTAGCAATACATTATGTCATATCCAGATAAAAGCGCACTGGTCCAAAGAAATTAGGGGTAAAAGGCACGGTTTCATACTATTTGTTGGGACACATTTGTAAACAACATGATATAGACCCAAAATCAATGACCACATAGGGTCTGGGACATTAGGAAAATAACAGGACCAAACTGGAAAAAATTCAAAGTCTTAGTGACTTGTTTCTATTCATCGAAAAAATGTCCCTTGTAATAATTTTGATTAGATTGGTCTTCGAAATTTTAATTTCAACAAATTATCTAAAATATTCTTAACAACACAATTAATAATTCCTAAAATACTCTTATAATAATCAACATACATTTACACCATCGTCATTCTTGAGCACCCCTTAAACCCTCTGCACATATCACACACACTCTTAAACCCTATACGTGTGTAATATCAGATTTGTACTTAAAAAGCCTTTTAGTTGTCTTTCACTATATTCCAATCATTTAAAGAATGTCAAAAAGCATATAATATGTATCGCATTAGGTGGGGCAAATTAAAAAAATGTAAAATAATTAGCATAAATGTATAAAAAATAACGCAAGGAATTTTGTAGTTTAATTAACAAAGTTGTTGCTCATCATGTTTATTCGCACACCAATGCTTTTTTTTAAAACCCCTCCCACCGTCCATGCCTTTTCTAGAGCTTGAATCTGATTCTCTTTTCTATATGCACCGATTGTTATTATTTCTATACATTGTCGAATTAATTTCTTTAATAATTTTCGTAAATTACAAATGAAATTGAAATTTCTTATATATATCATGTATTCTTTAGCTTAACCAACCTATACTATTAAAAAATTGAATTAAAAGTTTTCAGTTGCTTGTGACTAAACCAATTTTTTTTAAAAAAATGGGTATTGAACCCATAATTTAGAAAAGAAATAATGTATCAACTGAAAACTTTTAACTATTTACTCTATAGATTGTTGTTTGTTAAACAAATAAATTAATTTTACTCTTAGTTATTTAAATTTATAATTAAATCGATCCAAATCTTATGTACCACAGACATATTAATATATTTTATATTAAACTCAACTCAAACCCAATAACATCTTTAATCAATCAGCCCATCCAAATTTGAATTCCAAGCCTAAAAAACTGAATCTCAATTAATAGCATATATGATTGGGTTCAAGCCCCTTTTATTTTTACTATTAATTTCTATTAAAGCTTATATTAAAATCATTCCAACTTTAAATAGTAGTCGGCTGCCCGGACTCTTAAGTCTTAACGGGTCTAGTTATTTACTTCGTATTTCGTTAAAAGAAACCCCCTGGAAAATAGTACTTCTCCAAACACGGATAGAGGGGGTGAACAGTCCTGCTAATACAAGGTTTTACGGTTTCCTACTCCCATCTCTCTTTATATCTTCTATCCTCTCTTTTTTTTCTTTATAAATCCCTAATCACAAACTTTCCCAATTCCCATTCCTTTGATTCTTAAGCCAATCCAATATTCGGTCTGCAATTTCCCAAGGTCAATTTTCTCTCTTTGATTATCGCTTTTGATGAATTTCTATTTTAAATTACGGCTTCTTAATTATCAAAAACCATGTTCAATTGATGTATTGTATATGTTCCTGCAGTATGTTTCCTGTTTTAGATGAAAATTTAGGGCATAATTAACTTTTATCGTGTCTTTTTTGAAGGATATTCATGTTTTTTTAGTAGGCATAATGTTAATTTCCTGTTTCTAAGTAACGTGATGTTTTATTTATTTGAAACTAATTGGGATCTGGTTTGTTCTAAACGATGCTGGTTATGAAGAACGGATGATTAGGTTTTATTCGTTGTAGTTGGGGAATTTGTAAATTGGGCTTTGCAGGCGTATTATGAATGTTTACTCAATGTTTTGAGCGGTTGTAAGGCTCTATTTGTAATAGATTAAATCTGGACTGTTTGGGTATATAGTTCCTTAACATAGTTTTCCTATATTTGAACCTAATATGTTAAAAACCGAATTCCCCCTTAAGGACAAATATATTAGTTTGAACTTTGAATCATCGTTAAACCTGGAGAGTATGGGGTCGGTTAGTAGGAAGATGAGACAATTTAACTTCAAACGTGTCCTGGTTCTGGGTGGATGGGAAATGAGATTTAGGTATGAGTTGGATAATCATGTGAATATTACATAAACTTATATGCTTGTATATATGATTCTCAGCAGCTAAAGAGAAAAAAAATTGTGTGCTTATTCTTTAATCCTTGTGTTGTTTCCTGCAGTGAGAATGCAAGATCCAAGGATGCCACCATCTGAGGAAGATTTGAACCCTAAAATGCGGAAAAAGAAAAGCTCCACTAAGAAAGCACCCATGCTTTCGTCAGAAAGAAACGAGACTACAGGGGCTCAGCATGTACAGGGATCCCTACCATCAAGAAAGGGGAAGAAGACACCGAAAAGGAACATGAAGAACGAAATGTCTCCAATATTTCAGCAACCCGAGAGATCCAACTCAGATTCATTACCAGACTCTTCTACATCTGGAAATGAATACCGTGCACTGAGGCGCAAGTATTTGCTACTGGAGGAAGGAAGCTTTACATTGGGTAAAGAGCTTAAAGAAGTTGAAGATGAGGTCAAGTCTCTTGAAGATGAGAAGCATGCCCTACTGGATCAACTTGTTGTATTAGAAGGTCTAATAGATCCTTCAGAAATGCAATCCCATGGTGCATAGTACAATATATTACTTTTTTGCTTCATGCTAGTCTATATAATTCGCGCGCTTGTCGATTGATATGGAAGATGAATGCTGAAGTAATCTGAAGCTGCAGAGGAAGTTAAATGTTTGATCCACAGTCATAATCTTCTTGTAAGTGGTTTAGAATCTCTTTCAGGCAAAAAAATGCCGCAAGAATACTTGGAACTATTGAGATGTTTATCTTGGCCTAAACACATGAGATCTTAAAGAGATTTATGGGTTATGTTGCTGCAATAATATATTAATTAATATTATAGAGTGCTTTAAAAGTAAATGTAAAAAATGACTAACTAATTTATTTCAATTACTATTATCTTATGTATAATAGAAGAATATAAGATTAAGTTTATTTAAATGTATAATATCTTCTGATAATAAGTGGGGAAGAGTCTATATAATATTGATGTTATAAAAAATTGTATGTTAGAAAAAAATATGAATTGAATAAAATCTTCTGAAATTAAAACAACTTAAAGGATATATAAGAAAATAATCATATACATTAAAATCGGTTTTGAATAAAAAAATCTAAGATTTATATAAATTGTAATACTTGATTTGGATTTGATTTAGATTTTTATTGACTTTGATTTGGATAATAATTAAATATTAAATGTTTATTTGATTCTTAGATTCACAAGTTTCGAAATTTTAATTGTTTAAATTGAACTGATTTTCTTACTTTTAACTAATTTTAGTTTTTATGATATTAAAGAAAAAAATGTAAGAGATTAATGAAAAAAAATTTAGGTTATATTTAGATTATCTAAATTTGTCATTACCTTTATAGTAAAGTTTTTTTTTGAAAAAAAAGAGGTTTTGTATGATTAGATTAAGAGTACATACAAAATAAAGTATTATTGTGGACCTCGTTAAAAAAATTTCCTACATCTAAATGAATAAAAAAGAATGCCCTAAAACAATGCCAACGAGACACCAACTTGTTACATAGCATCACACAACCACGCCATCCAACAAAGAGGGATGAACTGCACGAAAACAAACAGAAACGGCTTTCAACCTGAGCGGCTTGGAAATGTAACCGGCTGCGCCTCAAAACTTCCAAGTATGGTGTAACCACCCACCACGCCACACAGCAATCCATTAGCTCAACCAACCAATAAAAATCATCGCAACACATCAGGAACCATGGCCCAGCTAATACAAATTCCATATACTGTCTAAAAGGTCAAAGACAAAGCAGGCTCCTTCACACAAATCTCTTTCAAAATCGGGGGTCGATGGCGCTTAAAACGGACCACTAAAACAATTAAAACTACTCAAACAACCAATTGGCCTCTCAAAGAATCATCCTTAATTCGCCTCCTCAGCATAACCTGTAGTTTAGACTCTCAACTACTAAAAAACTCGCAGCATAAACAAGCGGTGGAACCCTATTTGCACCCCAACCATCTCCCCACACAAGCAAGGGGAGTAACCCCTGAATATAAATCAATTCAATGGATAAATGACATCAAACAAAGGCAGAGGCTCAAACCATTCAAACAGAAGAAACATCGAGCAGCCACCTGAACCACACATCGCTCCATCGATCACTTTCTAACCGAGATGAAGGCATGTGGCGTTCTTTTGAAATCGTTGATTGAGCAGCACACCTCAGGCCATTTCCACCAACTCCAGCATCCGATCCTCGTGATAGCCAAATCGAACAGTTTTTCCTCTATCAATCTGCTCTTCTTAAACATAATATCATTTCTGAGCAACCAGATTGACCAGAAGAAACCAAAGAAAGCCATGATCCACATTTGTTTGCACGATTTTGCGATCGGCATTCCATCCCAAGAAGAGAGAAAGGATCTAACGTCACTCGGGCATACGAAATGGATATTCCACACAGCGAACCATCTTGACCAAGCTCTCCAAACTACCTCACGCTTACAAAACAGGTGATTCACCGTTTCCTTCTCCTTTAAGCACATGACACAGGCGCCGGAGTCTAAATCGGAATACCCCTTAATTCTAGCTCTGCAAGGACGGGAAGCCTATTTAGAATAGCTCTCCACACGAGATACTCAACTTTTGGAGGAGCCAAGTTTACCCACACCAGCTTCCAGAAATTGTCGCATTCACTTTCAACCAAAGTGGCAGTAGGAACTTGGGATGTACAGCCCGATAGAGCACCCAATCCAGATGAATTACTACACGCCGCTTCGTTTAGGACTCGGATAAATTCATACCAAAGGTTCCATTCCCAGGAAAATAGCTCACGCCTGATCTCAATAATATTTTTCCGGGGATGTATAAGTTGAGGCAGCTTTAATATACGGTTAATAAAAGATGCTACCGTAATCGTTACCTAAAACATTATTTTTTTTATAAAAAATCTTAATATTAAACGCTAATTAAAATGTTTAACATTTTCGGTAAAATATTACCTAAATTAAAATTTCCGATAAAAAAAATAATGTTTTAGGTAACGCTTAACCGGATTTGTTAAAAAATATTAACATTTTCGATAGAGTATTTCCTTAGCCTTATATTAAGATTGTCGTCATAATTACCCACGAAGGTATTGTCTAAGGTACGACAGTTTTAATATACGGTTAAAGAAAAAGGTTACCGGAAATGTTAATTTTTTTAATATTTTCGGTAAAACATTATCCTAAAATATCACTTTTTTTCTACCGGAAATGTTAATATTGATTGTTACCTAAAATGTTTAATATTTTCGATAAAATACTACTTAAAATGTTATTTTTTTCTACCGAAAATGTTAATATTATGTGCTACATAAAATGTTATTTTTTCTATCGAAATTAGATAACGAAATTAATATTTCTAATAAAAATAATATTTTAAATAATATTTTAACGAATATGTTAAAAAATATTAATATTTTCAGTAAAACTTTCATTACCCGTATATTATTACCCAGCTGCGGCTGGCATATGAAACATCGAGAGATAGTAAACGAGTAAGTTTGCAAGAACAGACTTAATCAAGGTTTGACGACCTCCAAACGAGACTAATATTCCTTTCCAGCTATCGAGGCGGTTTAATAAATACCTTTTTTTGAACAGTCCAATACCATTTGATGGATTCATTAATCAATATATTTAATCTCAGATTTTTATATATTTTATACTAATGACATCAATCGAGTTAAATTTAGTCGGTAAAATAAATGAAAATTTTAAAAGGACTATTAAAATATTTTGCCTAGAGAAAATGAATAAGCCATCCGAACAGATGAATTTTAGTTTGAGCCAATTCAAGTATAAATGCTATTCAATTCAGTTTAGATTCGATCTTTTAGTTACTAAGTGAAATGCAGTAGTGACACCAAGTAAGTTGGGATCTTCTTCCCCGTATAGATTAGAACAAATTTCCTACTTTAAAGAAAATCCCATCTATAAATACCTGTGTCCCCGTTCTCAATCTCATTCATACAGACTGTTGTTTTCTTTGATTTTGGCTGTGGAGTGAGGTTTACAGTGATGAAGCCATGGCTGTTCGATTTTCTGCATTGCAAATGCGGCAAGGCAGCACCGAAATGTGGAGATAGTGAACGATACCGGAGGGCTTAGCAGGGACAGCTCCCCCAAGGGATTTGTGTTCGGAACTGCTACTTCTGCTTATCAAGTTGAAGGCATGACGGATAAGGGCGGCCGAGGGCCTTGCATCTGGGATGTTTATGTCAAAAAACCAGGTAATACTACCCATCCTTCTAATTATCATACCATTTTTTTATTATAATTACTGATTTTTTGTCATTTGCGCTTCGAATTGATTCTAATTCAAATCAATTTCAGTTTACATTTTGTTGTTCAAATCATTGTTTTCTACATTCAAATTGAACTGATCTTATTTTTTGTTAATTTGATTCATGATTGATAAGAATTTACCGACTAGTAATAATAGTTTTGAAATAAAATAGCATGTGGAGTATCACCGTGCTCTCTCAGGAGATTGTTCCTAGGATGTCTAGACTAGTGTCATTTTCTAATTAATTAATTAATTTCTATCTAGAAAAACATCAATTAATAAATTAATTACAGTATTTTACTAATTCTAATAAATCCTTCTATTAGTTTCATTTTTTAAATATTTTTTTTTGGAACAGGCAACATAGCCAATAATGATACCGCTGATGTGGCTGTTGATCAGTGCCACCGTTACAAAACGTCTTCACTTCAATTTTTCTGTTTCAAGAATAGTATATGATTATGGATAAATTTGATCTAATTAATTTTAACAAGTAATCCTGTTAATTCGTGTCCCACTATTCCTACAGGAAGATATAGATTTACTGGCAAAATTCAACTTTGATGCTTACCGGTTTTCTATTTCATGGTCAAGGATCTTTCCTGGTATTGCACCAATGGCTCAATTGTTTTCGTTTGATTTTTTTAATTATTATTGTTCAAATTAACTCTTTGATTTTTTTCTTATTTTTGTAGAGGGAGTTCGAAGAGTAAATTGGGAGGGAGTTGATTATTACAATGGATTGATCGACTACATGGTTAAGAAAGGTGAATGAAATGAATGCCTATTGCTTGACACCGATTTTCAGTTTGTTTTGCCATGATTATCTCAACAAAGGAATGTGTATATCTCTAAAATGCTACTGAGAAAAATGAATTAAAAAAATTCTATAGTACTCGAATTCTTCAGTTTTCTATAAAAAAATATATGTATCTAACATGTGTTTACTGCATATCCGACTTTAATATAGCCTATTAACTAGTAAGAAATATTCTCGTTGAGATTTGAAGAGGAATTGAGGGGATGTCAGCAAACAACTTTGTTCATGTTTCAGCCTCAAATCCTGAAAAACAGCGAAGATTTTGATTTGCATTGATGTCAGAATGAAATCTGTGCTTTTGTACCTTTGAAATGTTCCATGAAATGCTTTGCACAGTGGTTTTATGGTATGTATGAAATTTAATGGCTTTCTCTATGAAATGAAAACCTCTGCTGATCTGATTCATACCTTTTGTAGGCATTATTCCCTACGGGAACTTAAACCGTTATGATCTCCCTCTAGCTCTTCAGGAAAAATACAGTGGGTACTTGAACCGCCAAATTGTGTAAAGTATAACCATTATGAATTTATGATCTTCCTGAGTAACATACGTGATTACTTTTCGATGAGCTTAATATTCATTAAGGTGGTTAAATTTAATTAAACCTTTATTTCTGTAATCTTTAAATTTTAATTTATGATTCAAAATTTTCAGGGAGGATTATGCCCATTATGCAGAGTTCTGCTTCAAGACATTTAGTGGTAAGA